ATTCATCCTAACACTAATTAGGGAGGTGGGAGGCTTTAAACAGGCTAATTATGTAGGCTAGGTCTCAGCCTTGATAAACCTCCCTTCACACTTCGTTAGCATCTTTACCCAGGAGCCCTAAAGACGGGAAAACTGAGATGCTCAGGAGTGTCACCAGGGCAGCCCTGAGGTTGGGGACTATGTAACAGGAGCCTGCCAGGGAAAGGGGAAGAGGATCTATGGAAACTAACTTGCAGGTTTTGAGGATGCTGGGACTGGGTAGTCACTAGGCCCATGGACAGATTGGTCGCAAGCACCCATGCTGACCAGTAGGCACTCAGCTCTCAACCATGAAGAGGACAGGAGAGAAAGGGCCAGGGTAGGGTACAGACTGGTACCTCTCCAAGGTCAGCCTGGGTCTCAGCCAGGCATTGTGGAAATGATCTGAAGCTCTGGATACAAGAGTCAAAACATACAGTTCACAAAAGGGATATCTACAAGGAAAGCCGACATATTATAAATAATGATGGGGATCAAAGGTGAAACCCTGCGTTGCTAGCAACACTCCCTCCTTAACATCCTGTGGAGCCCTCAAAAGGACTGCTTGGTACTCTCTACATGTGATTCATCCATTCGAACCAGCAAATGTTCATGAAGCACCTACTGTGCTTCAGGCTTTGGGAAGATGCCGGGGATTCCCAGATAAATAAGGTATGGCCCTTGCTTTTAAGAAGTCCCCCAATCTTGGGGCGCCTGGGTGGCTCAGTCGTTGAGCGTCTGCCTTCGGCTCGGGTCATGATCCCAGGGTTCTGGGATCGAGCCCCGCATTGGGCTCCCCGCTCCGCAGGAGGCCTGCTTCTCCCTCTCACACTTCCTCTGCTTGTGTTCCTCTCTCACTGTCTCTCTCTATAAATAAATAAAATCTTTAGAAAATAAATAATAAATAAATAAATAAATAACATAGATAAAATCTTTAAATAAATAAATAAAATCTTTAGAAAATAAATAAATAAATAAATAAAATCTTTAGGAAAAAAAAAAGTCCCCCAATCTAGGGGCATCTGGGGGGCTCAGTCGGTTAAGCCTCTGCCCTCAGCTCAGGTCATGATCCCAGGGTCGGGCTCTCTGCTTGGCGGGGAGTCTGCTTCTCCCTCTCCCTCTGCCTGCCACTCCCCACTCTTGTGCTCTCTCTCTGTCAAATGAGTAAATAAAATCTTAAAAAAGAAGAAGAAGACCCCCAGTCTAGCAGCCACCTGAGTTCTCACCTGAGAACCGGACATGCCAGCATGGCCAAGACAGACTCAGTTTATGCCCGTTATTCCAATGCCATTATTAATTAGCGTCCACTTTCAAAAGTGTCCTGCTTTGGTGGACATAGTCACCTTAACCATGGCACAATGTCCCCGCACTGGTGGGAATAGTGGTGGAAAGTGGTGGTTGTAGTTGCTCTTAAGACCATGATGAAGAGGGGCACCTGGGTGGCTCAGTTGGCTAAGCAACTGCCTTGGGCTCAGGTCATGATCCTGGGGTCCTGGATCCCCGCATAGAGCCCCCCCATCAAGTCCCGCATTAGGCTCCCTGCTCAGTGGGGAGCCTGCTTCTCCCTCTCCCCCTGTCCCTTCCCTGCTCCTCCTCTCCTTCTCCTCTGCTGGTACTCTCTCTCTCTCTCTCTCTCAAATAAATAGAATCTCTCTCTCTCTCTCTCTTTTTTAAAGACTATGATGAAGAGACATTGGTGGAGGCAGCTTGAAAGCAAAAAACTGTCTGCTTAATATGTTACTGGAGGTCAGACCACCAGACTACAGAGAAAGTGGCCAGAAGATGACGCTTTTTGTGTGTATCTGTTTCCCTATTATCAGGCTTGCTGCTCCTAGTGTTAAAACTCAGCTGTTTCGGGCACCTGGGTGGCTCAGTTGGTTAAGCAACTGCCTTTGATTCAGGTCAGGATCCCTGGGATCGAGTCCCACATCGGGCTTCTGGCTTAACGGGGAGGCTGCTTCTCCCTCTGACCCTCTCCTCTCTCATGCTGTTTCTCTCTCTCTCTCAAATAAATAAATAAATAAATAAAATCTTTAAAAAAAAAACAACCCAGCGGGTGCCTGGGTGGCTCAGATGGTTGGGCGTCTGCCTTCGGCTCAGGTCATGATCCCAGAGTTCCGGGATCGAGTCCCGCATCGGGCTCCCTGCTCCTTGGGAGCCTGCTTCTGCCTCTGCCTCTCTCTCTCTCTGTCTCTCATGAATAAATAAATAATAAAATCTTTAAAAAAAAAAAACAAAAAACAACCCAGCTATGTTTCTGGTTATGAGTAAGGTTACCAAAATGGAGGGGGCCTCTACCTTCAGCTACATTGGACTAGGTACAATTCTCCACATTCCTTGGGTTTCATGGATACAAAGTACCCATCATCAGTTGGGAGCCTGGTTAAAAGAATTATGGTACCACCACACAATGGAATATAATCCAGCCATAAAATGGAATGCCATAAAACGGAATGAGAAAGCTCTTTGTGTACTGATAGGGAACAATCTCCAGAATGTTTTGTTAAGTAAAAAATCAGGGGAGGGGCGCCTGGGTGGCTCAGTCGGTTAAGTGTCTGCCTTTGGCTCAGGTCATGATCCCGGGGCCCTAGGATCCAGCCCCACATCACATGAGCCTGCTTCTCCCTCTGCTTGTGCTCTCTTTCAAATAAATAAATAAAATCTTTTAAAAAAAAATCAGGGTAAGGAATAGCAGGTATAGTGTGTTGACATTTGTGTAATGAAAGGGGAAAAATATTTATACACACTCTTATATGCAAAGAGTATAAAAGAACTGGTAACCTTGGTGATCTGGGGAGGGAACCTAGGTGGCTGGGGGCAGGTGAGATATTTCACTGTATATCCTTTTGTACTTTGTGAAGTTTGAACCATGTGAATGTGTTACCTATTTAAAATTCTAGGTAAAATTAAAATAATTAAAAAATAAATGAGTGAATAAATTCCCAGAATCCTTCCTTCTGTGTCTGCCCATATAATTCCTCTGACTTGCTCATTAAAATCATTCTTACCCTTTGAAGCTCAGGTCAGAGTCACCTTTTTCCAGAAGCCCTCCCTGCACACTTAAAACAGCCATCTTTAAAGGCTTTTATTTCGTAGCCGTGGACATGAAGTTGCTGTGTGCATTTCACTTCATCCACCAGATTGAAACTTCTCCTGGTAGGGACTGGGTCTGATATCTCTGATCTTCCTGCAGCACTGAGCTTTTTGCAAGCTGTGCTAGAAAGCCTGAGATCACACTGAGTGTGCACACTATCTAAAGTACTTTGATGACCACTATCTCCTCACAATAGCTAGGTGAGAGGCTAGGCAGATGGGTGTTTTTATTTGACAGATGAAGCTCCTGAGATTTAGTGGAGTGGAAGTAAAGTGACTTGCTCAAGGTTACAAAAAAAGACAAGGTAGAGGTTGCAGGATGCAGATTTCTAACCTAATCAAGTATTAGGTTGATACACCTTCCTGACTGCCTGCCTTCCTTATACACCCAGTAGTCCGGTCTTTTTTTATTTCCAGGCTTCTTTGTGCAATGGTCCAAACTCATCTGCCTCTAGTCTAGTTCAGCGTCCCCTTATCCCCCACACAGCAGTCAGGGCATTTTTTTTTTAATTTTATTTATTTTTTTGACAGAGAGAGAGAGAGAGACAGCGAGAGAGGGAACACAAGCAGGGGGAGTGGGAGAGGGAGAACAGGCTTCCTGCGGAGCAAGGAGCCCAATGCAAGGCTTGATCCCAGGACCCTGGGATCATGACCCAAGTGGAAGGCAGACGCTTAACGACTGAGCCACCCAGGCGCCCCCAGTCAGAGCATTTCTCACTTCTCTTCCTCCTGCTTAAATGCTTAAAGACTTTCACTAGCTCCTCTTCCCAGCACCTGTACTCCAGAACAAAGTCCGCTTTTCTTTGCAATTTTTACAAGGCTCTAGGACCCGCCCCAGCCCACCTCTGCAGTTTCAGCTTCCCAATTCCCATTCAGATCCTGGCAGATGTCAGGAATAGGCCTTACCTGATTCCCAGGCCTGTGCATGAAAGACCCTCCCTACTCTCCATGCCTGGAAAATGTCAGCTCACTGGCAAGACCTGGCAAAATGTCACCTGGGCGGCATTCTCTCTGACCTCACTTCTCAGTCCCCACCAAAACCCAGACTCCTAAAATAATGAACGACTGGAAAGTGTCCAGGCTGTGGATTTAGCTTGACTCAGCTCTAGTTCTTGCTCTCTGTGTGACTTTGGTCTCAGCTTCCTTCACTGAAAAATGGGGATAATGTGTCAGCCTGGAAGTAAGGACCCATCTTGGGGGGGGATGTCGAGGCCACTGGTGGGAGGAGCAGGTTGCAGCTCACAGCAAAGTTTGGTGGCTCCATTTCTGACACTGCATCCCCTTTAGCTGCCCTGCACCCCTTCCTCAAGAAGCTAGACGCCCCCCCCAGCTCCACCCTTTCGAGCCTGGTGAGGAGGGTGCTGTGGGTCACACTGACACCGCAGATTAGAGACCGCGTGGTCATTTGGCAGATTTGCAATAGGAAGCAGAGGGCCATTGGGGGAAGGGACGGTGAGCAATGGCAGTCCTAGAACAGTCTCCACCCAAGGTCAGGGCGCCCGCGGGACCGACTGAGAACTGCAAGGACGTCTCTCCGCAGCCCCGCCCCTCGAGGGGGCCAGAAGCCTCCCTGTACCCTGAGTCACAGTGCGTTCCCTTTAAGGCGTTCGGGAAAGTCACCGCCTTTGGTGGACGGCCAACGAGCGCGGTGCGTTTTGTCCCTCGCGGGCTTCCGTGGGCCGGGCCGGGCGCGAGGGCGGGGCAGGGGAAGCGGCGGTGAGGTCAAAGGTTACAGCGCGCACCACGTGGGCCGGTGACTCCGTCCTTCCCGCAGCGGCCGCGGCGCGCAGGGCACTTGGGTTAGTGGCGCGGCGGGCGGCGCGGACAGCCGAGCCGGACGCCCGCTCCCGCCGCCATGGTCATCAAAACGGACGAGTTGCCGGCGGCCGCTCCGGCCGACGGCGCCCGGGAGCCCAGCTCGCAGGCCGGTGGCAAGGGGCGGCCGGGCGCGGCCGGTGAGCGGGGCCGGGGCCAGCGGTCAGCCGGGCGGGGAGGCTGGACCGGGCCGAGTGGGCGGGCGGGTTCGGGGTTTGCAGGGACCGCCACCTTCCCTCCGCGCCGGGCCGGGTTGCATCTCCCCGGGCCGCCCCCGCCCTGAAGGTCACCTTCACTGTCGCCCCTGGCTGCGGCCTGGGTTTCGCACGTGGGGTCCCGGGGAGGACAGCGGTAGGGGGGACACGTGCGCGCACACGCGGTTTCGGGGTGCGCCGCCGCCGCAGACTGTGGAATCGGTGGCCCCACCCCCTCCGCGCGCGGGCATGGGTAACCCTCCGGGCTGGGGTCGCTGACACTTGCTCGGTCTGGCGCCCTTCGCGTCAGGATCTCAAGCGTTGCCTGTGTACAGGACTGCAGCCCTGCGAGTAAGGCTCAACCTGGGACTTCCCAGGCATGGTCTGTGGGGAAGAGTGCGAGCTGGCTGTGGGTGTGTATTCTGAGGGGGCTTGTCTGGTTCGTTCCCAGGGGCAGTGCTTAAACCCCAGGTGTTCAGGCTCTGATTTCTTCCCTGTTAGGTGTTGGCCTGATCTGCAGACCTAGGAGGTCTGCCTGCGTGTGGGGGCAAAACCAAACTCCTTGGCAGGAGTAGGTGTTTGTGCCAGAACTTGATCATTAACCCGCCTTATTGCGAAAAGTGGATCAGCCCAGGGTTGCTGTTTTTAAGGCAAAGGTCATCAGTGTGGAGTGGAGCTCCCAACTCTCCCCCGTGGGGGCTATGTGGCAGTGGCTTTGGGAGTGTTGCCTGCTTCATCTTTCTCTCCTGGGCTTTCTCTGTTCCTTATTCATGTCTTAGATTCCAGCCTTAAGGCTGGAAGCCCTTTTCCAGAGCCTCAGTTGTCATCTCCAAATCATCCTCAGGGTCCCAGGCCTGGGCTTTGGTCCCCCTCTGGCCTGGTTGGTGGTGGGAACTACCTCTGTCTTCCACTCCCCCCCCCCGCCCCCTTCTCAGCATGGACTTGTCATCTTCATCTCCCTTCCCAGCTTTGGTGAGTCAGGATGGGAACAATATTTAGGAGGAGGCTGTCTGACCCAGTCAGTCGCAGCAGAGTTACCTTGTGTTGGTGGTAGGTACTGTGGCAGCTTTGCTGATTGCCTAGATAATGCCAAGGTTTGGGCAGAACAACAGATGCTGATGACTCCAACCTGCCAGGCTTTCCCTTGATGTGGCTCTGAATCAGTGGGGCAGGCTAGATAAGAGGAAGTCAGGTCTGGCTGATTTCCCTTCTAGCAAAAAGACATGAAGAGAGAAAGTGACTTGCCCAAGGTCACACAGCGCTTGAGCTGGTGTGTGTGTGGCGGGGCGGGGGTTGGATTTCTAGCTTGTGGCCAGCATGCCAAGGCTTCCCCTACCTGCCCCAGAGGAAGCCGGGACAGGCATGTTGGTTTGGGTTTATATTGAGAACATGGGGAGTGAGGAGGGGAGAGTCTGTTGGAGGGTTTCCCCGCGGGCTTGAGTAAAGCCCTGTCTCTGCTGTGTGCTGAGAGGCTCTGTCTGGGGCAACCTGGGTCAGGGGAAGGGCACAGCTGTTCATTTTTGGGAAACTGGGAGCATGCTAGCGGGTGGGACATTAGCTCCTTATGTCTCTGGGAAGCTAGTATAGATAGCTAGGCTTTGAATTACAGCCAGCGTGAATCTGTTCAAAGAAGGAGGGTGGCCTTAATGGAGACCCCCGAGTAGGTTCTCATCCAGGCTCCTGACCCTTAGGACCCAGCTCTTGAAGGTTCTTCAGTCCCTTTGAGGTGCTAATCCAGGCCTTTGGGGGGGGGGGTCGGGGGCAAGGGTCAGTTACGTTCTTGGGAATAAAGCTACTTTTAGGGTTAAGAGAACAGGCAGGTTTTTCAAGTTCACAGTGGTGTGTCAAGTTCCTTCTGCCTAGGGGAGGGCTCCTTGGAGTTGAGGCCCAGAGCAGAAAAGGGAGCTGGCAGACTGGGGAGGAGCTTGAGGGCTTAGGGGAGCTCCGTGATAGAATCCTAAAGCTCTAAATGTGGGGAGGTCTGAGTAGACCAGTTGAGGATTACTGGACTATCTCCAGACCTTGCATACCTGTTTCTGGCCTGGGGGGACCAGATGCCCATATCATTGGGGTCTTCCATAGGCTGCCTGCCCGCCCCTACCCCTTTCCCCTGAAGCCCTGCATTCCTGGGAGGGGTGATGTGTCTTTTGGGGCCTTAACTTCCTGCTGGAGCCTCACCTGCCGAGGCCTTGACTGGGGCGGGGCTTGGCCCTGGCACAGTCTACTGAGTGAGGCCATGCCAGGCTGGGGAAGACACAGAGGCCACTTGGGATGTCCTAAGTTTCTTTTCTAACTCCTCCTCTCTGCTGCCCATGGGGTCTCTTTAGGCCAGGGTACACTTTTATCTCCTCATCCCAATCCAGCCAGTGAAGACTGGGGGTGTGTATATGCAGTGTGCAGTGTGCAGTTTAGGCAACCCCTTCCCAACCCCTGCAGCGGACCACTTTTTTCCCCTTCCCTAAAGCCCAGATCCTAGGGGTTCCCCCCTAGGATATGAGAAGAGGGGATGCTGGCCCAGAGGTGTAGAGGGTTGGGAGGGTGCTATGATTGGAGATAGATCTGCCTCCTGGCCTGAGGCCTGAGACCTGAGGCCTGGAGGAGGAAGAGATGCCGTGTGCCTGGTGGGTTCTGCAGCCTGGGCAGTGGCACTCAGAGGCATGGGTTTGGACACCTGACAGACCTGGTTTTTTCTTTTTACTTTTTAATATTATTTATTATTTATTATTTTTATTTATTTATTTGACAGAGACACAGCGAGAGAAGGAACACAAGCAGGGGGAGTGGGAGAGGGAGAAGCAGGCTTCCCGCGGAGCAAGGATCCCGATGCGGGGCTCGATCCCAGGACCCTGGGATCATGACCTGAGCCAAAGGCAGATGCTCAACGACTGAGCCACCCAGGCACCCCCCTCGTTTTTTCTTGACGTGGCTTGGCCACCTGTCTCCTCCGGGTCCTGGGGCAGCTGGCTTACTGGCTTCTGGGGCCTGTGTTTCCTCAAGTGAGATGGGCCGGTTGAGCTGATGGAGGGACTTGCTGTGGGATGGGCCTAGAGCAAGCACAGGCTTTCTGGGAACCAGAATGGAGATGGACGGTAGATGCTGCTACTCAGAGGTTACTGCCAGGGTGCTGTGCCCCACCCCCTTTTCCAGAGGGTGAGGGTGTGTTTGAGAAGAGGGCGGGATAAGAGGAGCTCTGCCTGCGTCCGGCCCTTCTTACCATTTGGTCAGTGTGTGTGGACTGGAACCCTTGGTGGGGGCTGAGGAGAGGCCGAGGGCCTGCTGCGTGCCTGGCTGTCAGGGCTGCCTGGGACAGGACTGGAGGGGAGGGGTCCTGGAGTGAGCCTGGCTCCCCGCCCCCACTCTGGTTTGCATGGATGCCGGAGCAGTGCTGCCTAGGCCCTGGCAACGAGTCAGGGGCCCTGGGAAGGCGCCCTGGCGAGGCTGGGCATGTTCCTTCTCCACAACCGAACGGCCTTCGGCCTCTTGCTGCCAGCTCTGTTCTCCCCGGGGGGAGAGACTTGGTTTGGTCCTGGCAGCGCAGGGGCTGCTGGGAAGGGAAGATAGAGCCTGCCAGCTTCGTGGTGGAGCTGGAGGCCTGGGGCCGCGGGTGCAGTTGTCCTCTGGGAGACTGCGGGCCCCTCCCCCCTCCCATCAGAACCAGGGACTGTCAGGAAGAGGAGAGCTGCCAGGTCACCGGCAGGGGGCAGCATGAGCCAGCGGCCTCAACCAGCCGCTTGACCCAGGAGGCTGGGTGCTCGGTGCCTGCGACTGGTGGACGGTGGACGGGTGGCCACCTCATGGCTTGGGCCCGGGTCTGCAGCAGCTGTTGCTGGCAGCTGGCTGAAGCCATCCTGCCCACCCCTGCTGGGGTTAGGGCTGAGGAGAGGACCCCCTTACTGGGCCCTGCCCCTGCCAGCCAGTCCCCAGGGCCCTTGGTCCCGAGGGGCCCAGGTACCCCAAATGCTGGGTTCTGCTCCCCTAATGGCTTCGCCAGCGGTGACCCCCCTTTTGGTGGGTACAGGGAGGTGGGCCTGCATGCTGGTAGCACCCCCCCCTGGGGTCCTGGAGCCACTGGGGCCTCCTGGCCCACAGCCGTCCTTCTGGCCGACCTTGAGCAGGATGAGAGGCAGGGGGAGTGTGCCCTTCCCAGGGCTGCCCCAGCAGGCCTGGCCCCACTGAAACCTGAAGCCAGCCAGAGCTCCAGCCCTGGGCTGACCAGCTGCATGGGGGCGAGGGTGGAGGCAGAGGCCGGAACAGGGGACTCAGGCAGTCCCGAGCCTGAGCCGGAGAGCTGGCCGCTTCGTTGCCATGGTGGTCCCAAGACTCCAGAGTCCAGGAGAGGGCAGCCTCCAACTGCACCAGGTGGGCTGTGGGGGCAGGGAGCCAGGTGGTCATCCTCTTCTGGGAGATCACTTGGCTTTAATCCAGGGGTAGGGAGACCTTCAGTGTTCCTTAGAGGAAGGAGGAGGGCAGAGCCACCATTCTGGGGCAATGGAGGCCCCTGGGAACCAGCCACATTCCTCTGAAATCTGATAGGGGATTGGGTACCATCTGGGACTAACCTGGTGCTGAGGTACCTTCTGGGCAGGCTCCCCGGCCTGGGGAAGACGGGAGGGAGCTGCAGCCACCCTGCCTTGTCTCCCCTGCCCTCCTTCCCATCCTTCCAGGCCCAGACTCAGGGAGCACAGGCTGCCCATCGGGGTCTGCGTTTCTAACTTCTCACTTTTGGGGTCTTAGACCTCAGCGCTGCTGCACCGTATTGGGGGGGGCCCTCATCCCAGGGGCCTTCCAACAGCAAAGCCTTTTTCAAGGACCGAGTTAGGGGAAGCGCCTCCTCATATCTGCCATTCCTCTTGCTGCCTTTTGGAAGCTGACCAAGCACCACCCTTCTCCCCACCCTCCTGCCTGCTTCGTCATAGAGTCAGCCGAGTTCTCCCTTTGGGGTGGCTGCTCACTTTAGGAGCTTGGGTTCGCACCCGCTGGGGCTGCGGGCTCACTAGAGAGAGGTCCTCCTGTGTCGTTGTGGTTCTCGGAAATTCCACCTCCGGTTTGGAGAGGTGTGCCGGGACAAGCGTGATAACAGTCCTTGGAGATCCATAGTGGCCAAGATTGAGGGCAGTTTGATGGTCTGGTGGTGTGGGCTCTTGATGGGGAATCTGGGGTCCGCTCTTGACCTTGGACAAGGCTCTGAACTTTTCTGGGCCTCATGCGTCCTTATTTGGAGGGAACTGTATCTGAGCTCCTGGCGGTCCTGTTTATCAGTAAGCTGAGGGGACACAGGGAAGAGGGAGTGGCTTCTCTGCACACCGCCCCTGGCGTGCCCTTCTGTCCTGGGCTTATCTCCTTTCCTGAGGCCCCTGGCTCCACATTTCTGGTGGGTCTGGGTAGGGCCCACGGAGTTCTGGGGGAAATGCATCTCACTCCTAACAGTAGGGAAGAGGAGGTGGTGTGTGGAGCAGAACTGGGTGAGCTGACCTGTCTGGACCTCTCAGACAAACAAGGGGCCTGACCATGGGCGGAAAGGCCCATGGGCCAAATGGATATCCAGGCAGGCCTGTGTTTTGCTGGCGTGATTGTGAGGAGGTCCTTGCTCCCCAGGGCAGGGAGGGGACTCTTCTTTATTCCCCTTAGTGCCTGGGTAGAAAGGGAAGGTTTTGTCACCTGCTTATTTCTCTTTCCCCACAGCACGTGAATTGGGTGCTGTTCACAAATACTGGACTTAACTCCACATGTGCAGTAATTAATTCATTAATTCAGCGTGCTTCTGTTGAATGCAAGAAAGATGGAAGGAAGAAGATACAACTGCTAGTGTGAACAGCCCCCCAGAATGACAAAACAGTGCTCTGGGAGGTGGTTACCATGTCTCTGGGGGGCAATGAGGATGCAGTGATTCTGTTGTCAGGGGTCATTTGGGCAGGCTTTAGAGAAGGGGGTTTAGGGGTGCCTGGGTGGCTCAGTCGGTTAAGCGTCCGAGTCTTGATTTCGGCTCTGGTCATGATCTCAGGGTCGTGAGATTCCAGCCCTGCGTCGGGCTCTTGAATGCTGAGCATGGAAATCTGCTTGAGATTCTCTCTCCCTCTCCCCCTCCCTTGCTTCTGCTCTAAATAAATAAATAAATAATATAGAGAGGGGGGCTTATTTCACCTGGGCCTTGACGCATGAGTATGTTTGCCCGATGCTGTGGTATATTGAGGGCAGCATGAACTGCACAAAAGCACAGACGTGGGAGGGAAGATGTGGAGCCTGTTCTCAGGCTTCCTAGTAGTTTGTGGACCTGAGACATTGACAGGGAGAGCTGGTAGGAGCTGAGATGGGCTTCAGGCTGGTGCCTGAGAGTGTTGGCCTAAGAAGCTTGGATCTTGTGAACAGTGGGTTCTAAGTGGTGCTCTTGAAATAGGGAAAATGGCCTATCCGGGGCCGTGGCTGCAGAGGCTGGGTTCCATGACCAGTTTGGAGATTAGGCTGGGTAACTGGGGGGGGGGGGCATTTACAGAGCAGAGGCCAGCTTGTGGAGGCAAGTGAATTCCGTGTCAACAAGATGAGACTTTGGTGATGCCTAAGGGATGGCTACATGTTGAAAAGCTTGAGCAAGGCCTAGATTGGCCAGGTTAGCTGCATGACGGGAGGGCGTTTAAAGTCCTGGGAGATCAGGAGAGGCTGGGGCTTGGGACACCCACAGCCTGGGCTGCTGGAAGGGGGGGTGGAGCTGGAGAGCAAGGAACAAGGGATCAGTGGCTACAGGGAAGGGGAGGAGAAAGTGAGCAGTGATGGGTGCTGCTGAGAAGTCACACACCTTGAGGCCAGAAAACAGTTGGGCTTGGGCCTTGGGGTGACTCTGGGGAGAGGGATTTGGGTGGTGTGTCCAGATGGAAGCCAGACTGGAAGACTGAGGAGCCGATGGAAGGGAGGGCCCAGGATGTGGAAGGGAGGAGGCAGTGGTCTCCAGGTGGCCAGGGTTGAGGGAAGTTGTGTGCCCAGTGTGAGTGGGACTGTGGGTCTGGGGTAGGGCTGAGTCTCGGGAGGAAGTGCAGCAGGCGCCATTATGTGGCGCACATGTCCACCCAGGTGGGTGAGGCTGGTGGCCCCACTTACCTCAGCTCCTTCCTTGTTAGCTGCAGAGCTGCCATCAGTCATGCTACTGAATGGGGACTGTCCGGAGGGCCTAAAGAAGGAAGAAAGGGCTGCCGAGCTGTCCCGGGAAAATGGTCTGGATGAGGCCGAGCCGGGAGAGGAGACGACTGGACAGGAAGTCATTGTCATTCAGGACACAGGCTTTTCTGTGAAGATCCTGGCACCCGGGATTGAGCCCTTTTCCTTACAGGTGAGATGGAGGAGACGGGTGCTGGGGACCAGAGCATGAGCCCATTAGGGCCTGGCTGTTGCTCGTCCTAGCCTTGGACTGTAGGGAAGGCAGTATGTCCTCAGCACGGTGTTTGGGGCCTTTTCCTTGGTAGGTGTCCCCCCAGGAGATGGTACAGGAGATCCACCAGGTACTGATGGACCGTGAAGACACATGTCACCGCACGTGCTTCTCGCTGCACCTGGATGGCAACATGTTGGACCATTTCTCAGAGCTGCGCAGTGTCGAGGGGCTGCAGGAGGGCTCGGTGCTACGCGTGGTGGAAGGTTTGTCCAGAAGTTGGGCAGCCTGCCAAGGGATGGCACACAGAGGTGGGGCTGGGTGGCACTCCACCCACCCTGGCTGGTATCTCAGCGTCACAGATGGGTGTGTGGAGGCTTGGAACAGTACTGAACTTGTGAAGGCAGGATTGGAGCCCAGATCTGCTCCTCAGGCCTTCACATGTGTACTCTCCAACATTATAGGTTAAATATCAAAGTCATGTTTTTTTGTTTTGTTTTGTTTTTAAAAAAAACAGTACCAACTGGGGCGCCTGGGTGACTCAGTCAGTTAAGCATCTGACTCTTGATTTCAGCTCAGGTCATGATTTCGGGGCCGTGAGTTGAGCCCTGCATCGGGCTCCACACCGGGCATGGAGCCTGCTTGAGATTCTCTCTCCCTCTCCCTCTGCCCTTCCTTCCCTCCCCCCAACTCACACTTGCGTGCTCGCTTTCAAACAAAAACAAAAAACGGGCGCCTGGGTGTGCGTGCGTATGTGCACTCTCTCTCTCTCTCTGTGTCAGATAAATACCATCTTAAAAAACGGTACCAAGGGCTTGAAATCAGCCCAGTCAGATTCTATAGAAAGAAAAGTTAAATCTCGGGGCCCAGTCGTTAAGTGTGTGCCTTCAGCTCAGGTCATGATCTCAGGATTCTGGGATCCAGCCCCCGCATCGGGCTGTCTGCTTGGTGGGAAGTCTGCTTCTCCCTCTGCCCCTCCCTCTGCTTGTTGTCTCTCTCCAAGTAAATAAAATCTTACAAAAAAAAAAATGAAACGATTACAGCTTAGAATAAAAAAAAAGAGGGAGAGAAGTTAAATCTCATAAAGAAATTGAGTTTCACAGCTCTCAAGTAGAGCAGTCAGGCCTAGTTGGCAGCAGTCGGCTGGTGTGGCGAGGCTGGTTTGCTTGTAAAATAAAAGCTCCCGTGACCTTGGGTCCCCAGGGGAGAGAGATAGCTCAGAGGTTCCGGGCAGTGTGAGCTTGTTAAAAGCAAAGGTGGAAAGTGTAATGCAAGCATGCCCAAACTTACTTGATGATGAAGTCTCTCTTCTCCCTCAAAAGAGCCCCCATTAAAATTCACGAAGCATATATTGGGGGGTAGTGTTGTAGTTATGGGGAAGTTCTCAGGCCACCCCCGAGCAAGGGCCGCCCTGGGAGAGCAGGACTGAGGCTGTGGTGTAGGGGCCCTGCCACTCCTCGGACCTTCCCACGAGGGACACCTTTGAATGAGAGCAGGGGGCTTTTGTGGGCTCCCCGAGGCCTGTGTGCTTCAGGAAGCATTTTTTGTGCCCTTTGGCAGAAGGTTCTTTGCAAACAAGGATCCTTGCCTAACGGAAGGGGGTGTGTGTGTTGAATCCAGCTTATGTGCTCATAATGGAATCTGTAAGTGGAGACCTAAAATGTGAAAATCAAGACTACCATGGTAGCCGGATGGCCGACTTCTCTGTCCTGGGCAGGTTGGTGCAGTGGGGGGCGGGCCCGGCTCACGTGCTGCCCCTCACTCTCCTGACAGAACCGTACACAGTCCGTGAGGCCCGCATCCACGTGCGCCATGTCCGGGACCTGCTCAAGAGCCTTGACCCATCCGATGCCTTCAACGGGGTTGACTGCAACTCCTTGTCCTTCCTGAGCGTCTTTACTGATGGCGACCTGGGAGGTGCGGGAGGCATTGGGGCTGGGGGTTGGGCAGAGGGTCCAGGGGCAAATTGGCCAGGGGCTGGTGAAGGGGCTAGGGGCCAGGCCTTGCCACCAGGAGGGGGCAGGGCTGGAGGCCTCCATGCTGGGGCCAGTTTGCCCCTGGGTGGCCCTGTGCTGACCACCAGCCTCGGGTCCCTCAGACAGCGGGAAGCGGAAGAAAGGCTTGGAGATGGACCCCATTGACTGCACCCCACCTGAGTACATCCTTCCAGGGAGCCGGGAGCGACCATTGTGTCCCCTGCAGCCCCAGAACCGTGACTGGAAGGTAGTATACCGGAACAGACAGGGAGCAGGCCCCTGGTGGGGCGGGGCAGGGAGGGGGGCTGTGCACCACACCCAGAGGCCTAGCCCCCACTCATACTTGGCCATTTTTGCAGCCCCTGCAGTGCCTAAAAGTGCTCACCATGAGTGGCTGGAACCCGCCCCCTGGGAACCGCAAGATGCACGGGGACCTCATGTACCTGTTTGTGATCACAGCCGAGGACCGGCAAGTCAGCATCACGGCGTCCACGCGGGGCTTTTACCTGAACCAGTAAGTCCCTGTGTGAGCCCATCCAGGTCTTTGGGCAGCTACTTGGGGTGCCCGGTGCAGTGACCACCCTCTCCCCACAGGTCCACAGCATATCACTTCAACCCCAAGCCTGCCAGTCCCCGCTTCCTCAGCCATTCCCTGGTGGAGCTGCTCAACCAGATCAGCCCCACCTTCAAAAAAAACTTTGCTGTGCTGCAGAAGAAAAGGTAGCACCTTTGCGCTGTCTCTGCCCCTTGTCTCCCACCCCGCGAGGGGGTAGGGCTGCGTCTTCCCTCAGAAGCCCTATGCCCTCAGCCCCCAGCACCCCGGAGCCTCACCTTAGGGAGCTGCTAGACCCCAAGACAGCAGTCCTAGAAGAGGTGCCCATTTGCTTCTGTTAGACTCTGCGGGGGCAGGGTCTCAGGGCTGGGAGGCACGCGAGCTGGTGCGGGCGTCAGAGAAGGGGGCTAGGCCAGGGCTCTGAGCTTGGCCGTCTTCCCCATTTCCCCCTGTCGCTGCCACAGGGTCCAGCGCCACCCCTTCGAGAGGATTGCCACCCCATTCCAGGTGTACAGCTGGACAGCCCCCCAGGCAGAGCATGCCATGGACTGTGTGCGTGCAGAGGATGCCTACACCTCCAGGCTGGGTTATGAGGAGCACATTCCCGGACAGGTGCCTGCAGCCTGGCCCCGCCTTCCCTGGACTCCTCTCTCCCCCGCCCTGGGTGGGTGCCAGGCTGGGTTCTGTGCGCCTCCTGGAAACTTCATCTGCTTGTCTGTCTGGTTCACCTGGGAGCGTGTGAGGCTGTCCACAGGCAGGCGGAGGGAGGGGCTACCCAGAGCAGGTCTTGGGGCCTGGGCTGATCCCGCATCTCCCTCCTTGGTCCCTTTGCAGACCCGGGACTGGAACGAGGAGCTGCAGACGACAAGGGAACTGCCCCGCAAGAACCTGCCTGAGCGGCTGCTTCGAGAAAGAGCTATATTCAAGGTGCCTACAGCTCCTTCTGCCTGACTGGCAGCCTCAGGCCTGCTTGCCACCAGCCAAGAGGGCCGGTCAGGGTACCCTGCAGGGCACTGGCTGGCTTCTCGCCTCCGGGCAGACTATCCCAGCTCCGTTTTGTGACCTCTCTGAGACTTGGAGTCCAGGGGCTGGGCGGAGGGTAGGGGGACCTCCTCCATTGTGGGCTGCGTGACAGGTTTCTCCCGGCTTCCCACCCACCGCTGTCTGCCACTGGGACCTCGCCTGGGCACACGTGATACTACCTAGAGAGAGGAGGAAAAATAATGCTTTCAGAAGAGCCGTTTTTAATCTCCTATAATCTTCCTGCCTAGAGATGATAATGGTAAACCTAAGATGGCACTGTTTTGAGTACTGACTTTGCCAGCGGCTCTGTCAGGTGTCTTACAGGCACCATCTGGAACTTTTTGGACACCTCGTAAAGGTTGATACTTTGATTGTCACTGTTTTATTGGCGGGGAAAACAGGTCTGAGAGGGGACCTGGCCAAGTTCACCTGGCACGTAATGGGTGGATCCAAGACCCGCCCTAGTCCTTTCCCTCCTCGTTCATCCCTGAGCTCTGTGTCTCTCCGAGCATAAGTTAACATTTTTTCAAAAAATGGGTTTCTTGCCTTTTTCTAAGTGAGGAAGCTGATGTTAGACAACCCCCCGTGGCCCCCGGGCCCATCCACTTGCCTGGACTGTCTGGGTGAGCTTGGCCAGGCGGGCCGAAACCTGTGGCTCCGGGGATGGGGCCTTTCTCACCCTCCTGGTCTCGACCGCCCCACAGGTGCACAGTGACTTCACGGCCGCGGCTACGCGGGGTGCCATGGCGGTCATCGATGGCAATGTGATGGCCATCAACCCCAGTGAGGAGACCAAGATGCAGATGTTCATCTGGAACAACATCTTCTTTAGCCTGGGCTTTGACGTTCGTGATCACTACAAGGACTTCGGTGGGGACGTGGCGGCCTACGTGGCACCCACCAATGACCTGAACGGTGTGCGCACGTACAACGCCGTCGACGTGGAGGGGCTGTACACGCTGGGCACGGTGGTGGTGGATTACCGGGGCTACCGTGTCACGGCCCAGTCCATCATCCCAGGCATCCTGGAGCGGGACCAGGAGCAGAGCGTCATTTACGGCTCCATTGACTTTGGCAAGACCGTGATGTCGCACCCTCGCTACCTGGAGCTTCTGGAACGTACCAGCCGGCCTCTCAAGATCCTGAGGCACCGGGTGCTCAATGACCGTGACGAGGAGGTGGAGCTCTGCTCCTCCGTGGAGTGCAAGGGCATCATCGGCAACGACGGGCGCCACTACATCCTCGACCTGCTGCGCACCTTCCCCCCTGACCTCAATTTCCTGCCCGTGCCCGGTGAGGGGCTGCCTGAGGAGTGCAGCCGCGCCGGCTTCCCCCGTGCCCACCGGCACAAGCTCTGCTGTCTGCGCCAGGAGCTGGTGGACGCCTTCGTGGAGCACAGGTGAGGCTTGGGTGGGCGCCCAGCCGGCAGGCAGTCCTGGGGCCTGCTCCTTGACGGGACAGGCTTGGGAAAGTGACGAGCCTCCCGCTCTGGCCACGGTCATTACACCCCTGGCCCCCCTACCGTGACATCAGGCTCCGCAACGTGGACGTCCAGGAGCTTTCTGTTGGTGGAGAGCCAGCAAACCAGCTAGACCAGGGCTCTCAGAGGTGGCGCTGTTTCTCTAAGGGGGCATGTGGAAATCCGCTAAAGGTGGTTTTTTGTTGTTTTTTAAGATTTTATATTTATTCATTTGAGAGAGAGTGATCGAGAGCACAAGCAGGGGAAGCGGCAGGCAGAGGGAGAGGGAGAAGCAGACTCTCCTCTGAGAAGGGAGCCTGATGGGGCGCTCGATCCCAGGACCCCGGGATCATGACCTGAGCCGAAGGTGGATGCCCAACCGACTAAGCCACTGAGGCGCCCCTGCTAAAGTGTTTTTAAATGCCCCAGTGCCGGGGGCTGTCATCACTGCTGGCATTTAGTGCTCAGGAGTCAGCCACATCAAATGTCCCACACCGCAAACCAATCTCCTCAAAATGCCGGTGAGGCTCCCTCTCCCATGTGAGCCTGGCCTGCACGGAGCCCCTGGCTTCTCCCCCACTCTCACCCAGCTGTCGCCCTCCAGTTGGGAAGAGCTCGGTTTGGGTGGTGACCTGCTGCTGCCCGTTGGAGTTGCTGGGGTGGCACGGGCCAGGAGTCGGGGGCCTGGCACGGGTCCCTGCCGGCCAGCCAGTGAGGCTTCCGGAGAGCTCTTTCCCATCTCCTGCTCTGCCCGGTCTGCTGTGTTCTAGGTACCTCCTCTTCATGAAGCTTGCTGCCCTGCAGCTCATGCAGCAGAAGGCCAGCAGGATGGAGAACCCCACCTCGCTGGAAAACGGTGACTCCCCGTCCTCAGAATCTAAGCCTGAAGACCCTCCGGGACCTGAGGCAGGAAGTGAGGAGGAAGGTGGCGGTGCTAGCGGCCTGGCCAAGGTGAAGGAGCTCGCGGAGACCATCGCCTCAGACGACGGGACAGGTGGGGCTGCTGTGGATGCGGGGAGGGCCGAGCCCCACTTCTGTCCCGGCAGCTGGTGCTGGCTGGGGCCGGGGGGTGGCAGGTGCTTGAGCCAGCCGGAGGGAGGCCAGCAGGTGTGTCTGCGTGGAGCTAGGGGAGGCTCAGGGTAGCGCCTGATAGTGCTGGGGGGCGGGGGGGAGCTGCCTCCCAGCCAGCCGTGTCTCCACAGCAGACCCTCGGAGCCGGGAGGTGATCCGCAACGCATGCAAGGCAGTTGGCTCCATCAGCAGCACAGCCTTTGACGTTCGCTTCAACCCTGATATTTTCTCACCAGGCAAGGCCTGCGTCAGGGCGGGTGGAGGACCACACGGGCCATCTTGGGGCCCTTGGTGCTGGTGGGTGCTGGTATCTGTCTCCCCCACCCTCCTCTCTTCTGCCTCGCTCACGCCTCTGCTGTTTCTCCCACAGGGGTTCGCTTCCCAGAGTCCTGCCAGGAGGAAGTTCGGGACCAGAAGCAGCTGCTGAAAGACGCCGCTGCCTTCCTGCTCTCCTGCCAGATCCCTGGCTTGGTGAGGGAGGTGCCAGGGTGGGGGAGGGGGCTGCACAGGGCATGCTGTTAAAGGCCCTGGTGCCTCATCCATCCAGTTCTGGAAGCTTGTGGAACCTTAGACCTGCTGATCTGTGAGGGCGGCGGGCCAGAGTGCTTGCCACCATCGTACGGATAGGGCAGCTGACCCAGAGAGGCCAAGGGAGGCATCAGGCACAGAGTCTGCTCTGTTGTGCCTTCCACAGGGGCTGGCAGCTGAGGGTCTGGGCCTCTGAGCCCCCGCGTGACAGGACAGCTTAAGGGAGGGTGACGGGGGGCGGGGCATCTGGAAAAAAGGTGGGGAGGGTCCTATCTTCTCGGCCTCACAAGCCTTGTATATAGGCTCCTTGGATGATGGGGAGCTTGCTCCCTAGTAAGGTAGCCCTGTGGTCGGGTAGCATGCTTGTCTCAGATCTTGGAGCCAGTGTTCTGTGCCAGCTGCCCGGGCCCCCTGCCTGACCTCTCTGAGGCTTGGCACAAACCTTCCAGGCTTGGCAAAGCTGTGGCCCCCAGAGGTGACCACCCGTGCTCTGTCCCACATGCTCAGAGGGGAGCCCTCACCCTGCTGCTCTACGGGGTGGGCCTGGCAGTCACAGGGTGACTGCTCTCCCATTTTTCTGTTGCTTGTGCAAAAGGCTGGGGGATACGTTTCTCCTGTTTCCTGGCTGCTGCTTTGCCTTCTTCCCTCTTCCCAACTGGGAGCTCGGGTCTCAATGTCCTCCTTCCCTCAGGACCTCAGGACAGCATGAGCTCCCCGCCGGGAAGACGCAGGGTGGGAGGAGGCAGAGGGTCCAGGCTGGGGGGGCCTGACCTGCTGCAGCCCACAGGTGAAGGACTGCATCGACCACGCGGTGCTGCCCATGGACGGGGCCACGCTGGCTGAGGTGATGCGTCAGCGGGGCATCAACATGCGCTACCTGGGCAAGGTGCTGGACCTGGTCCTCCGGAGCCCGGCCCGAGAGCAGCTGGACCACATCTATGTGAGTGGTGCTCGGGGTGGCAGGCTGTGCGGCAGGGGGGCTGAGTGGAGGCCTGGGGCCGGACCCAGACTCCCTTCTCTGAACCCTTGCAGAAAATTGGCATCGGAGAGCTCATCACCCGCTCTGCCAAGCACATCTTCAAGACATACTTACAGGTACGGCGGGGTGTGGCAGGGGGAGGCAGGGGAAGAGCCCTGGGCTGGGGCCTGAGGGCCCTTACAACATGAGTCCAAAACTCCCCGCAGGGAGTGGAGCTCTCGGGCCTCTCAGCTGCCATCAGCCACTTTCTGAACTGCTTCCTGAGCTCCTATCCCAACCCCGTGGCCCACCTGCCCGCCGACGAGCTGATCTCCAAGAAGAGGAACAGGAGGAGGAGAAACCGGCCCCTGGGGGCGGCAGATAACACGGCCTGGGCTGTCATGACCCCCCAGGAGCTCTGGAAGAACATCTGCCAGGAGGCCAAGAACTACTTCGACTTCAGCCTTGAGTGGTGCGTGAGCAACACCGCGGGGATGCTGGGCACTCAGCACGAGGGCCACTGGGGGCCAGGGCCTGTGGTTGGAGTGGGTGGGCTAGGAGAGGAGGAAGGGAGCAGTGGAGGGCTGCTTGCTCCTGGAGTGGGGTTGGGGGCTGTTGGTCTGGGTCCTGGCTGGTGAGTACTTGGTACTCAGGTGGGGAGGCAGCTGTGGACAAGGGGCCGAGACGGGCTGGGCTGCCTAGGCCCACATGGCCGCCTCTCCCCCAGCGAGACCGCGGACCAGGCCGTGGAGATGTATGGCCTGCAGAAGATCACGCTACTGCGGGAAATCTCCCTGAAAACCGGAATCCAGGTGGGTGCCTTGGGGGTCCATCCCACGCCCTTGCTCCTGTAGGCTCCTGCAGGGCCACCAGGGTGGGGGCGGGGGGCTTTCTCTCAACGTGGGGTGGTAGGCTGGCAGGTGCCGGCCATGTGAGCTTGGGGTTGAGGCCACCTGTGGGGGTTGGGCTGTGCCCCCAGATCCTGCTGAAGGAGTACGGCTTCGACAGCCGCCACAAGCCCGCGTTCACCGAGGAGGACGTGCTCAATATCTTCCCCGTGGTCAAGCATGTCAACCCAAAGGCCTCGGACGCCTTCCACTTCTTCCAGAGTGGGCAGGCCAAAGTACAGCAGGGTGCGTGACCAGGTGTGGCCGGGGGGAGGGGGCTCCCCTGGCCCAGCCCTGACCTTGCCACCCTTGGGGGTGCCCTGCAGGCTTCCTGAAGGAGGGCTGTGAGCTCATCAATGAGGCCCTGAACCTGTTTAACAACGTGTACGGAGCCATGCACGTGGAGATCTGCGCCTGCTTGCGCCTCCTTGCTCGTCTCCACTACATTATGGGCGACTATGCCGAGGTGGGCCTGGAGCACCCTCTGGGCTGTCAGCGGAGGCCTTGGCGCCTGGCCTGGCACTGGGGGATGGCTAGCGAGGGAGCCGGGGCTGTGTTCTCACCCCATTGCCACAGGCAGCAGAGGTCCAGGCCTGGGGAAGTGCGCCCCGTCTGTGGGGCCGAGGGTGCTGCTCTCCCTGGGGCCCCCCTGGGAGGAACAGGCAGAGACCAGGGAGACTGCCTGGGCTTTCTTCCCCTGCTCTGCAGCTCTGGAGTGATGTCGGGAGAGCCGCCATGCTTGTGGACAGAGTGCTGACAGGACCTCCCTTCACAGGGACGGTGGGGAGGGTGGGTTCTCAGAGTCATTAGACCTGGGGCCTTGTGAGAGTGGTGTGAAGCTGCTCGGAGGAGCATCGCTAAGCGATCCTTGGCCTTGTTGGCCCGGGACTTCAAGAGGCTGCTTCATGGGGCAGGTGCACTGTAGGCCCCCACTCCTCAACCGTAGAGTTTTTTTTTTGTTTGTGTGTGCCTTTTTTTTATTATTATTGCTTTATTTTTAGCCTAATGTTAAATTTGTATAGATGTTTACACAGATTTTGTTAGGAGCAAAAGGCTCAAGACAAGCTATTTAAAAAGGCCTCAGAGTGGAACATGGCCTTCCATGCTCAGAACTGAGATTTGAACACTTCTCTGCTGAGGAGGCTGAGTCACTTGGGGGCTGCTTGGGGGCCAGGCAGACTCGATGTGGGGAGCTTCCCACCCTGGGATGACGATTCCCCACCTCTCCCAGGCCCTGAGTAACCAACAGAAGGCAGTGCTGATGAGCGAGCGAGTGATGGGCATCGAGCACCCCAACACCATCCAGGAATATGTGAGCAGCCGGTCGGGGCGGGGCCTGCGGGGGGAGGGCGTGGCCACCGGGCCTGACACGGCTGCCCCCGCAGATGCATCTGGCCCTGTACTGCTTCGCCAGCAGCCAGCTGTCCACGGCCCTGAGCCTGCTGTACCGCGCCCGCTACCTCACCCTGCTCGTGTTCGGGGAGGACCACCCCGAGATGGCGCTGCTGGATGTGAGTGCCGGGGGACCAGCGGGGGGTGTGGTGGGGCGAGCCTCAGTCCTGGGGAAGCAGGACTGACCCAGGCCCTCCTGCTGTACCCAGAACAACATCGGGCTGGTGCTGCACGGAGTGATGGAGTATGACCTATCACTGCGCTTCCTGGAGAACGCGCTGGCTGTTAGCACCAAGTACCACGGGCCCAAATCCCTCAAGGTGGCCCTCAGGTGAGGCCGTGCTGGCTTAGGGGCAGGGGGCACCCAGGGCCACGGTGACGAGGTCCCGGGAGGCAACTCGGGATAGAGGGTGGACATGGGATCCAGCATCCTGGCTTCCATCTGACTCCTGAGGAATTTTCTCTCAACTTCGTCTCTTCTCCGAGTCCTGGGCTTGTTTGTTCCCCTCGGGTGGATTCCAGAGCCGAATCTAGAATGGTCTGCGCACCCCCATCATGCCCCCGCCCACGCCTGTCCCTCTGTGCCCTGCACACCTTGCAGCCACCACCTTGTGGCCCGGGTCTACGAGAGCAAAGCCGAGTTCCGGTCAGCCCTGCAGCACGAGAAGGAAGGCTACACCATCTATAAGACCCAGGTGGGCCGCGGCAGGGGCTGGGGAGGTGGTGCTGGGCCCGTGGGTTTGTGGCATTGCTGATCCCTTCCTGCCTGTGCCCCACCCCACCCCCACCCCCGTAGCTGGGCGAGGACCACGAGAAGACCAAGGAGAGCTCCGAGTACCTCAAGTGCCTGACCCAGCAGGCTGTGGCCTTGCAGCGCACCATGAACGAGATCTACCGCAACGGCTCCAGCGCCAACATCCCGCCCCTCAAGGTGGGTGTCACCCCCCCCCCGCGGGCGCCCGTGGCCCAGCCTCCCGGCACCGCTCGTGGCTCACCTGCCCTGCCGCCCCTCAGCTCACAGCCCCCAGCATGGCCAGCGTCCTGGAACAGCTCAACGTCATCAACGGCATCCTCTTCATTCCTCTCAGGTGAGGCCCCCCTCCGAGTGCGCTCCGCACCCGCGTGGAAGTTGGCTTTAGTGTTTTGCTTTTCAAAATAAATAATTCACTGTCGTGGCTCGGAATTGAGAAGTACAGCCAGTGGTAAGAAGCGCCCTGTGAATTGTCCAGGAAATAGTCTGCGTAGTTGAGCAGACACATGTCTGTGATCTTTTTTTTTTTTCTTTTTTCCCTTTTTATTTGCACACAATTGTGGCAGAGCACGGCCAGGGCTGCGTCTACCCCACGCTTGCTGTGCCCCGGCGGTCTTTCCTTGTCCGCGCCTCGAGAGCAACTGTCTTCGTCCTCGGGCCTCCTGCCCCCACGCGGGCATCGCCCCCCAGCCGGGCCCCGCCTCCTTGCCGCCGCTGGGGGACGCACTGGGGGACGCGGCGTGGCCAGCCAGGGGCTAGGGCGGCTCGGCGTGCTGCCGGGGGTCGTGCGCCTGCCCGGCTGGCACTTGCTGTATGCATGAGCTGGAGGTGGAGGCTGAGCTGGAGCCAGGCCTTAACGGGAGGCCGTGCCACGTGCGCGGAGCTCGTGCTTCTGGCGCTTAGAAGCCTCTGGCTCTGGGGAGGGAAGCCCTTGTTCCGCATGTGTCTCTCCAGACAAAGAACGAGCCTGGTTTTGCCCCGGGTGTAGGTGTAACCAGGGCCGGTAAGGTGACAGAGGGCCCAGGCTTGCTCTGACACCTGCCCTTCGCCCCTGTCCTTTCACTCAGCCAAAAAGATTTGGAGAATCTGAAAGCCGAGGTGGCGCGGCGGCAGCAGCTCCAGGAGGCCAGCAGAAACAGGGAGAAGGCTGAGGAACCCATGGCCACCGAGCCTGAGCCAGCAGGGGCCCCAGAGGACTCAGCCTCCCAGCCCCGGGCTGCCAAGGACCCTTCTTCCCCAAGCTTGCAGGGGTAGAAAGGGAGAGACAGATGGACAGTCAGCCGGCTGCCCCGTTACCCAGTGATCCAGACTCCAGGAGAAGGGGGGCATGCCCTGCAGATCGGGAGAGGAAACAGGTCCCTCTTCTTCCATGTTTCCAACCCCAACCCCACCCCCAAGCATCCTCCTGGGACCCTGGCCTGCCTGCCCCCTCCCCAAAGACGTTTTTGCACTGGTTCAATGAATATACGATGCAGAGGCCTAATTGAAGACACGTGGATGGAGTGTGTGGGCATCCGTTCCCAGTTGGGGGGCCAGTGCCCCCTCGGGCCCCCCCCAGCAGGTGTGTGCGAGTGTGTCCGTGCCTGTGTGTGTCGGTCCGTCCTTCCTAACCTGTACATAGCCCCACGTTGGTTCTGAGTGGATGGCGTGAAGATGAGATTTCTCAGGTCGCTCGTATGTTTGATGTCACGGCTGCTGCATGTGCCGCCACTGCCCCCTCGGCCCAACTTGGCCTCAAGTCCAGGTTTGACGCCAAAAACGGGAGCTTTCCTGTGTCCTAGGGTGGGGAGCCAGAGCTCTGCGGCAGGGCCGGAGGGTGGGGGTGCACTTTAGCTCCGCGGCAAGGTGGTGACTACTGGGCCGGGCCTTCCTGCGTTCAGGGGCGCGGGGAGGGCGGGCGGCGGTGGTTGCCCAGACAGACGCCTGTCGCGCTCCCTGCCTCCCAGCTGGGGCCCACCCTGGGGGCTTTGTCTGAATGTATCCTCCCCCTTGTAACCTGAGCTGCCAGATGCACAGTGGGCACCATGGGCACAGTGGGGCTGGGGTAGGTGGAGGGAGGGACCAGGGGAACCAGGGCTGAGTCCTGGATCCTGGTGGGGAATTGACTAGATACAGAAGTGATTGCCACTTGGTGGTGGAGCCCAGCTCCCTATGTGGTCCTTGTCACACAAGCACCTCCTACAGAGAGGAGCTCTGGGTCAGGGTGGGGGGTGTCCGTGGAAGGCAGTGGCTCCCGCAAGCCCCAGCTACTCCGTCTCCCGCTTCCTCTGTGCCTGCTGTCGGAGCCCTGATGGGGGAGGGGGAGCACCCCACCCTGGTGGGCTTGAGGGACCTGTTCCCGGGCTGGGGCCTCTGCCCGGGGCTTTGCGGGGAGCTGCTTCTGGGTATGGTCTGTCCACATCCCTTGTTTCAAAGGCAGTGGGTGTGAGCTAGCAAGCGAAGCCTCCCCACCGCTGATCAAGAACTTTTTCTTGTTTTTAAACCATCACGTCTTCATTTCACATTGGAATAAAGTGAGTTTTTGAAACCTGCTGCCCCAGCCTCTCCTGTGTGTTCTGTCCAGGCTCGTGCCATGGGGAGGGCTGTTGCCAGAAGTATTACTGGTGCAGGAGTTTAAAGCCCAGGAATGTGTATAAATTAGGTCAAATTGAAGGTTATCCTGAAAAGGTCTTTTAAGGCGGGTAGAGTCCCAGGCACCCAGCTAGGGTTTCCCTGACTGCCGACACAGCAGGTGTCACCCGTCGGTCACAGAAGAGGAGGCTGAGAGTCACTCCGCCATAGAGATTTGTGTGGTACAGGGTTGGGTGAAGGCCAGTTGGAATGAGGGGTGCCATAGGCTGGGGGCCCGGGCCCTGGACTTGCTGGCCTTGATAAGTTGCTCAACACCTGATTTTGGGCTGCCCTTGTCCCTTTGAGTCGGGAGAACTGGGCGGTGGCCTCCAGAAGGCTAGGACTGCAGGAAAAACTCATGTTTGCTGTCCTAGGGTAAATTCTGGGCGAGCTAGGCTGTTGGGGAGATGTAGTGAGATGGGGGCAGGGGTAGCCGGTGAGCGTGAGGGGCAGGTCCTTTCTCCCAAGAAGAGGGGAAGTCTCATAACTGGCCGCTGCTACTTGGCTATCTTGAGCAGGTGGGCCTCAGCAGCATGCGCACGGCAATACCGTCTTGAGTCTTGATGGGGTTTTTTGTGTGTGTCTAACAAATTCTCTGAAAAGAAAAAAATACTCCAGCCCGAGTATTGGTTACTTTTCCCGAGCCGACTGGAAAGATATTCTTGACCTTGAAGTTTTTTTTCTTCTTTTTTAAAGATTTTACTCACTCATTTGTCAGAGCACAAGCAGGGGAGGGAAAAGCAGGCTTCCCACTGAGCAGGGAGCCCGATGGATTTAACATGCATGTCACTTTTTTTTTTTAAAATTTTTTTTTTTTATTTATTCATTTGAGACACAGAGATACAGAGAGAGCAGGAGCAGGGGGAGAGGCAGAGGGAGAAGAAGTAGGCTCCCTGCTGAGCCAGGAGCCCAATGTGGGGCTCGATCCCAGGACCCTGGGATCATGACCTGAGCCGAAGGCAGACACTTAACCATCTGAGCCACCCGGGTGCCCCACATGCATGTCACTTTTATACTTAAGTATCTTTTTTGAAAAGCTAGTATAACCAAATTAAGCTTTTAAGATTGTATCATCCCGGGGGGGGGGGACCGTATCATCTGTCTCCACTCCTTCCTGCCCTTCAAACTGCCATTGTGAAATGGGTATTTTTTTTAAAGATTTTATTTATTTGACAGAGAGCGCAACAGGCAAGGGGAGCAGCAGAGGGAGAGGGAGAAGCAGACTCCCCGCTGGGCAGGGAGCCCAACATGGGGCTCCATCCCAGGACCCCGGGATCATGACCTGAGCCAAAGGCAGACGCTTAACGACTGAGCCACCCAGGTGTCCTGTGAAATGGGTGTTGAGAGGATTGTTGGACCACACTGAGGAACCTGTGTACCCTGAGGCAGAGAACCAGGGAGCCTGCTGTGGCCTGAGTACTTCCACATTCCTACTGCCAGAATCCAAGCTGTCAAATCCAGGGGCGCCCTGGTGGCTCAGTCAGTTGAGAGTGTGCCTTCGGCTCAGGTCATGATCCCAGGGTCCTGGGATCGAGCCCCATATGGAGCTCCCTGCTCAGCGGGGAGTCTGCTTGTCCCTCTCCCTCCGCCCCTCCCACCTGCTCCTGCTCCCTCTTTCTCAAATACGTAAAATCTTAAAATCAAATCCGGCAAAGCATGCATATCAGGACGCCTACGGAGGACAGGTGGCCCTGCTCAAGTGCAGACTGAAATACTCCCATTAGGCAAATCCATTGATAAAAAAAAAGTCAGACACTGAGATGCAGACCATGCAGGACCCAATTATCCTGAGAACAAGGTCATTTCAGAATGATTTATGAGTTCCAAGTGTGGGCAACATAATCCTTGCTGACCCATTCCCAGGCTCCGCCCTGTTCCCAATGGTTATCTCCCCAGGGAGTTCGCAGTGTGGTGTGGTGTGATAGAGGGCCTCAGGGATGGGAGGAGGGTTATTCCTGCTTTGCTGAAGGTTAAAAAACTGAGAGGTCAGAAGGTCCTCCTTACACTTTAGATAGCTAACAAGATGCTTAACATAGGCAGAACCAGATTAGGGAAAGAGCGTGTGCATTTGGGTTTGAGTCCCAGCTCACTGTCTTAGCTGGGCTTCATACCCTTGGCGTTAAGACTTAAAGTGAGCTAAACTCACAACCCCGAGATCAACCACTGACTGATTCTAATCAATGAGAAGCTAGTTGAATGAATCAGAATCAGTGGTTTTCAAGCTTGAGCCTACATCAGAATCATCTGGATGGCTTGTTAAAATTGATTTTTCATATAGAGGTTTCAGATACAGTAGGTCTGAGCTGGAGCTCAAGAGCTTGCATTTCTAATGAGTTCCCAAGTGCTGCTGCCACTGGTCTGCTGGGGAACATCGTGAGAATCACTTTCTTAGAGAATTCTGGTAGGTCTCTCAGCATCCAAAAATTGCATGCAAGTTTCGCCAAAGCCCAAACAGGGACAGAGCTGCCACATTTAGGATGCTGTACCATTTCCCCACCAATTCTTCCACTTTCCTATCCCTCATCCTATGTCAGGGACACACCCAATGAGCGTTGGAAAGAAGCTTTAAGTGATACACCAGTGGGTGAGTTTTGAATAGCTAACTGCATTTCAGGATGGTGATAATACCAATGCTCAAACTCTCTACCCCCAGGGCAAGTGGTCAGGCATGTCGGCATCTCAAGCTAGGGGAAAAGAGGAGCCCTGAAGGGAAATGGAAAAGCTGCAAAACTCAGAAGACTCAAATTGCAAGTAATTACTTTGGTGCTCTTGAGGTTTCCCATTTTGGGATGGGGGAGGCAGGAAAACAACTGGGCTGTGAGTAAAGAGACACCACATCATCCAACTTGTTCTTTATACATGAGAAAGGCTGGAGACTTCCTGGGTGCCCTGGACACCACAGGCCCCAGCTGGGTAGTAGGAGGCATGGGAGGCAGGACATAGCCAACATGTGTAAAGCAGAGGGAAAGCCATGGGGCTTCTGGGGCAAGAGTGAAGGCGATTTTGGTACATTTCGACCAAAATTTAAAACAGTATTAAGAATCTTCAAGAATCCAGGACCACCGGACAAAACAGGAGGCTCATTCGTTAATAGAACAAAAGGGGACCACGATCCTTCTGTTTGGACCCTGACCACAAGAGGGCCAAGTCTTTGTTGGGGTGTGTGGGGGTGGCGGGCGGGGGGGTAGTGTTTACAATAGGTTTTTTTCTGGCCTCAGCTCTCCAGTGCCTGGGCCAATGAGTCGCTGTTGAAAAAGGCTGCTGGAGGGGAGGGTGGTGCAAGCCCACCCACCAGCATCGCCAAGAGCCCCTGCAGCCATCGCTCCTAGATCCTGACCTCCTAATAAGGTGAAGGAAGCGGACAGCGAAGGCAGTGCCAGCACGGGCCTCGAGAAAAGCCCTCCATCAAGGCCCTGCTACCAATCTGCCTCTTACTCTATGGCTGGTGTTGAACACAGTCCCATCTCCTATTAGGACTCGGCTTTAAATCTCTGCACAAGGACACACACACACACACACACACACACACAAAATCACATCTAGTTTTATAGGCATTTAATAGTTTACCAATTGGTACAATAGGATTTTTTAATATGCAGAAAACATGAATAAATTTTGTTTTACACAGTCTGAGAGCAACAAATCTTACTGTAAAACACAAGAGCAATATTATATACATTCCTTTACTGATTTTTTTTTTAAATTGTGTCAATAACTTGTTAACTCTTACTGTTTTCTCCAATCACCACCACCTCTGCAACATTCATATGAAATCAATGCTTGCCTTCATGTCAGTGTCAGGATCAACATCTAACCTGAAGATTTTGTGTTTGTTTCTATCATCTTCAGAGTGAGCTTTAGGGATGCCTGAAGGATAGGCAGGACAAGAAAGCAGCTACTTACATGATATAGTGGAAAGATAAAAAGGCCAGTTCAGTCCAGTTGTGACTTGTAAATCCAGCTTGCCCTCCCCCCACCCTACGGAAAACAAAACAAAAAACAAAAACCCAAAAC